ACAAACATCTCTTATCATTTACTTTTTTTTTAGTTCTAAGAGAAAGAAATCTCTGCAATATTTTAAAGCTGACTGTATTAAAATAATTTCAGCTGATAGGTATGTGCCTAACCTGTGATTTGTCTCCATTCTCTCTGGACTTTGTGCATGGTACAGCAGCATTGTTTCACTGAGGGACATGGGCACAGGTTGCTTACATGCTCAGCTCTGACTGTCTGCTGGAAAGCCTTAAATAACTAGATAAACATAACAGCTGCCGACCTAGTGTTTCCTACACTTTGGGGTGAGTGGCCCAGGAAATTCACTCTGTCATTTTGACTTGAGTTTGAAATGGACCTGGGCTGCTTTCCAACTGAGAGAGCCGCTCACTTCCAAACACTCCTAAGTTGTCCCAAGGAGCTCATTGCGGCAGTGGATGATTTGTGTTTGGCTGGCCATCCTAACAGCAAAAGCTGTCTGCTCTGGCAAGCAGCAGCTACAGCAGCATGGAGAATCACTCTCCCCAGTGTTTTTCTTGATGGGGCTGTTTTTCAGAGAAGCAACCCCCAAGCCCCTGTTTAACCTGACCCTGTAAGAGCATCATGCAGGTGGATTCTTGAACTCATGAGTAAATCGCTTCTCATGGCAGGGTGACTGTTTTATTGTGTCAGAAGCAACTTGTATGGAACTTGGAATCAGGACCAGAGATTTCCTCAGACAAATGCTGCAGTTAATTACTAGCTAAGGCTGTGAGGGACTGGAAAACAGAGAAACAAAAGTGGTAAAGGCTTTCTGAAAGATTTTTCTTCTATAGTAGAGAGTGGACAATCCATGATCATCCATATAACTGTAAGTGTATGTCTATTGTTTGGCCCTAGGCAGGACTAAGTCCTGGTACCAGTGCTTGGACAGGACACAGCACTCTGTGTACACATGCCCAGATGCTAGCTGGATGTATGGGGAGGGGAAACTCTATAACTCACAGAAGTCAGAAATTAAGAACACAAGAGCATAACAAGACTGAAGGAAGAAAAGCCCAGAACTTCTGACTATAATCATTCTTAATCTTATCCATACATGTCAATGCATGTGTTTATGTATGCTCAAGGTATTTGTTTAAAATAGCAATATGAGGAGTTGTGACCAAAGTCTACTTTATCACGTTGCTCTAAACTTGTCAGAGAACCAGTGGGTTACTTTAGTAGGCACTTGAGAGGACAGAATACGTGGACTACCAGCAGATTCTGACCACTGATGGGCAGAGGGGAGAAAACACGGAACTGAGAGCCTTGCACTGTCCTGTTCATCTCCACAATTAAGTCGCAGTGCCCACCACCCCACTAGACAGTTAATGAGACGCCATTGTGGCCAAAGGAAAGAATGAAGCCTTGTTTCCACTTTTAAACAGATACAGGCTGGTCCAGTCATCTGCTCATCCTAGTAGAGTTTCAGCAGTGTCCCTCAGAGCGTTGGCTGACTTTGCCTGTTTTCCAGTTTCCAACTGTAAACTTCCTCACTGGATCCCCGCATCGTCCTCTTGGAGCCTGATGTCTGTCTTCTTCTGGTGTTAGCTTTTGGTGTATTCTCTTTCTTGCTGAGCTTGGTTAGCAGTTTCCCAGTTTTGTCAATGTTTTCAAAGAAGTGAATGATGTTTTCGATGTTTCTGTTTCCCTATTTCATCTGTGTATGTATATTTATGTATGTGCTCATGTGTATGTTTGTTTACATGTGTGTATACATGTGTGCAGGAACACATTCACACATATGCACTTGCTTGTGGAGGCCTGAAGCTGACACAGACCATCGTGCTCATTACTTTACACTTTCTTTACTGAGGCCAACGGTATTGGGGGAAACCAGAGAGCACTCCAGTGCAGTGGAGGAAACTCCTCAGTTTCAAGGTCCCCACAGCAGAACTGCTTGGCGTGTTTCTGTCTTCTGTTCTTGTCAGGGTTTTTCACTGAGGAAGCTTACCACTTACAGCTGGTACCCACCAGGGGATCCCCTGCCTCTGCTTCCAGAGTACAGGGACTACATGTGTACTGGGAGCCAGAGTCTGGCCTCCATGCTTGAGGGGCAGGCACTTTACCTGCTGAGCCATTTCCCTGGCCGGTTTTCTACTTTGGGTTTCATGATTTCTACTCCGATCATGTTCTTCTGTGCGATCATGAGTGCTTCTCTTTTCCTATTTCCTGAAGCAGATGTTCCTGTCACTGGGCAAGGCCTTGCCTTGTGCTCCGTCCTTGTGGCCCCTATTGCTGACAGGCTGCCTTTGGTGCTTCTGCCATCTGCAGAAGCTTTATTTCTATTCCCAGTTAGGTTAGTCTCCTCCTGAGGTTTCTTTGACTTGTGTTCTTTTTAGGGGTGCACTATCTAATGTTCAAATATTTGGAGGTTTCCATGCATCTTTCATTGATACCCAGTGTAAGTTTGCTGTTTTATGAAACAGTACTTGTGTGGTTGGTTTTAAATTTGTCCAGTACATAGTTTATCTTGGTGGTATTTCTATATGAATCTGTGAAGAGTGTACACCCTGCTGCTGGTGGATAAAAAAGTCTATAGATGTCAATTACATCCAGTTGATTGACAGTTCTGTTCAGTTCAATTACACCCTTGTTGATTTTCTACCTGCTGGACCTGTCAGTCACTGATAAAGAGGTGTGGAATTTGCCAAGTACACTAGTGAATCCATCCACTTGTTACCAGCTCTATCAGTCTTTGCCCTGTGCACGCTGACCCTCTGATTCCAGGCACATGGACATCACTGATTGACAGGTCTTCTTGGAGACTTGACCCCTTTAGCATTCTACAGTCACTCCCATTATCCCCGATCATTCTCCTTACTCTGAAATCTGTTTTATCCAAAAATTAATATAGCATTTTCATCTCCCTTGGCTAACGTGAACACACAGGGCCTTTCTCTGTTCACTTGCTTTTCACTATTTGTGTCTTTTATTTAAAGCAAGTCTTTAGGCAATATATTATTCAGCATTCCATTGTCCTTTATGGGGCATTTAGACTGTGTCTGTATAAAATGATTATTAATGTGTCCGGGTCACCATGGTAACTGCTTTTTCTTTGCAACACTTGCCCTTTATTTAGTCTGAGTTTGTTTTCATCTTCATGTAGTACATCTGCTATTAATTACCATTTTATAATGTTCCATGTCTCCTCACTCTCAGACTCAGCTGTGGTCCCTAAAAATATTCTCATGGTCACTCTAGAGTATGGGTGTATATTTACAGCAAATGAGTCACCTTCCAAGTTCCACTGCTTTGCCTACATTTAAAAGATTTGAACAGATTCCCCTTGTTTTCCTCCCCAGACCCTTCTATGTCACATTGACATCATTTGCCATACTCACCAATCATTTTACTGTTACCATGACTTCATAACAAAGACTGGTAACTGATAGACTAAGAATAAGAAAAACTAGTGATTTCATTTTCCCTGTATCTAGTGGTAAATTTCTGACATCTATCACATTTCATTCCTCTTTAGCCTTTCATGTGGGACAGGTCTATTTGTTCTGAAAGTTAAGTAAGATATTGCTATGCAGGCTTACACAAATGGAGCTCTTCACAGTTCTAGGTTATGCTGCCTGTCAAGATACCATGAGACACAGATAACAGAGCATTACAGATGCAAGGCAGAGAGCTGCTCGAGATCCTGGCTGTTGGTAAACATGCCTGAGATACTGCAGTGAGATGGGTTTGCATTACCTCTGCTATGTCTTGGACAGAAGGAACACTGCTGAGCCCCACAGGAAAAGCAAACTTCATTATACACAATCATCCGCATCGTGCTACTTGTGGGGAAGCATTTCATTCAGACTAACTCATTGTTGTTGTTTTTTTATCTGAGTCTCTGTTGCACACATTGTCTCTGCACTTGGAAGTAGGGTCCACCACAGCCTCTAGGACAGACAAACCCAGACAAGTGCAGGTATTTTCCTGGGGCCTAAGGTTAGTCATCAAAGCAGCTATTTAGGGTTAGGAGTCTACTGCTCCAGAGCAGAGAGTCAGATGTGTAGCAACAGAGACACAGAGACACCACAGGCTCTTTTGAGAATCTTGCTTTTACGTACCTGTAAAGTATGGACCTTCTGAAGACCTGGACCAAGGATGGGGCATTTCTCCTAGGTTTTCCTCAGCCAGACAGTTTCAGACAAAATTGTCTTCACTAATAGACTCTGAAGAAAAAAAACTAAGTCTCTTGGGTTTATTCACAGTATTTGGATTTGGAATAGGGGCTGCCTCGTTAACTCTCAGGCTGTGAAAACACATTTCTTAATCAAATGCTTCAAATCTGGCTACTTGCAAAAAATTCCTCCTGCATGTACCTCCTAAAGAACAAGTCAAGTGTGACCTTCCAGCTCACCTTTAGTGAAGGTACTTGGACACATCATGCTCCTCTGTTTGTGATTCTGTTAACAAATGTTTACTTTACCAAAAACTAAGTACAGAATGCCCTAAAACCAAGACAAAGGCTATCGTATTGCAAACTCCTTGAAAGCATGTAATTAAATCTTACATTGACAAGGCCCAGAGCTGCTTACATTTGCCACCCACAGACATGAAAAACTCTATGTTTGCAAGGTGTGGTGATGTGTGCCTATAATCCTAGTACTCACGAGACAGATACAGGAAGAGTGGCACACGTGTGAAGCCAGCCCGGCCCACATAATGATGCCCAGGACTGCCAGGGCTACACAATGAGACTTCATCTCAAAAAAACATAAACAAATAAACAGACAACAATAGCAAAAAATAACAAAAAAAAAACAGAAACAAACAACAAACAAAAAAAAGCAAGCAAACAAAAATGAATGTGAATTTAATGAAAGCTTTAAACTGATAAAATATCCAAAATGTGTGTGTGTGTATGGGGGGGGGAATAAGGAAACATGAAGGGTGGTTTTTCAAACCTACCTTAGAGTTCATGTTAATCAGAATGATAGCTATAATGATGCCAGTAGGAACCAGTGGGGTTTCTATGGTAACCTGAGCTCTTTCCCCTAGGATTTTCAGACTGTTCTGCCGTCATTTGAACTCTTCTCAAAGTATGGAAAGTTATATTCAAAAGCTGGAGAAATTGTATAAAGGTATGCATTGGTTTTTTTTCTGAGTACTTCCAAATATATACTAAATAAATTACTAATCAAATGAGACTGACTTAACTGTTAGGCACTTTTTAAATGCTGTAACAATATTTATGTAAGGTAAAATTTCATAAATGTCTTTAATTCTAATCTGATGGTTTCAACGATTGGTTTTATTTTTCAAATATGTTCTCTAAAATGGACTAAAATGTATTAACAGAACTAACAAATGTCTGAGGTATTCTTTATCTTTTAATTAAATGACACAGTAAAGATTTACACAGTACCAGAAAATATACCAGTAGTAGTCCAAAAGCTAAAATGTTTCTCAGGACTTTTTAAATATTATAGTTAAAGATTCTTTACTTAATTTAGAGTGATAGGCAAGAGTCTAGAGTCTCTGATAATTCCCAAAATTTGCAGGATAGACAAGTAAAAAAAGATAATCACTAAAATTCAAGAACCAAGCAAGATTTTAATAATTTTATATTTATTACTTATGTATTTTAGATTAAAAACTGATTTCAGTTGAGTTAAGATCATAGACAGTATTGTGGGGTGTGTGTGTGTGTGTGTTTTCCCAATTTAAGCAGTTATGAGATAAAAGACAGTCAAGGGGAAAGGTCATAAAGAAGTCATGTGTGTTAGAATTGCCCAGTGTCCTCCAAGCCAACAGGTGAGGGAGCACACGCTGGGTCTGATGGGAAGAGCATGGCGTACTTAAAGCCTTGCGACATGTGTGCGCTGTGCTCCCTCTGCTTCACATGTGTCTCTGAAGGCTTTGATTGGTATGTTAATATAGTAAAGGCCAATACTCACCACTTAACTGCTCTGAAAGAATACCTGAGAGGAAATGCAAAATATTTCTAGATAGTAGGAAAATGTTATATTTGTGTCACCAAGTAAGAACAATGTTTCAAAGGTTTAAAGTATTATTGCCATTGAATATGTATGATCTGTGGCCCATAGTATGTCACATATATGTATGCAACTTTTAATTGAAAGATTTATCAATTCTGTGTACAATGGTTTTATAAAGAAGTATTTCTTATGTGATGCTGTTTCTAGGACACATCAGCAATCATCTATTCTTGCCAAATAAAGAACTGATGATAGAGAAAAGTCACCAAACCACAAAAGTCCAACTTGGTGACTGAGTTTATTAGATTACTCAGGGGACATTAGGGATTTACTTACAGGAATGTGGACACCTCAAAGGCAACTGCATCCCTGAAAGTCCATTCCAACTTGGGTGACAACTCATGAAAGGTAGAACCCTGGGTCACTCTGCATGACTTGGAGCCAACTCAGTGGACAGAGTCTACCCTCCTCAGCAGTTCTTACTGCTTATATGACCTTGGGGAGGGGGGCTTTGTGAATCTGGTCTGTTTCAGAGACTTTGTGAGACTTGTGAGTTGTTTACTCCCTGACTCTTAAGGAGTCTCCTTAAGAACTTCCTGAGTCTTAAAAAGTTTCCCTTCAGGATGAAATACCTTAATTCAGAAAAAAGTGCTACACAACAATTTAGAACCCACCTAAATACTGATTAATATATAGCAAATTCAGTGAAAGTGAATACAATGTAATTCTATGCTGATGTAAAAGAAAATGGTTTTACCCACTGATCTGACAAAATGCCTACCTTATATTCCTAAGAAGGCTCTGTTTAAAACCACTGTTCAATTTGATTGCATAGCAATGTCTTATGTACATATGTACATATATAACTGCATATCTGTTGAAGCATATTTCTATGTACCTATTTTTATGTAAAATATGTATATATACATTAATATATTGCAGAAATGGTAATGGAAGCTATCTCTGACTGGTAAGATTTTCTTCAACCTTATCTTTCCCAGATTCTGCTTTATATTTCAACTTAGTTTTAAATTTTCATTTAATCAGACAAAAGCAGTATTAAACCAAATTCTCCAATAAGGCTTAATAGTTCTCTGTAATTACACACATGTGAGCATTACAATTCTTCTTAATCATGATACTATAAGGCACCATTATTTTTTTTCTGAAGATAAAGTGTTTGCTACATTATTTATAGTGAATGATAAGAGCAAGAGTAACACATGTTTCACGTTGGTCTAATGAAAGAGCAGGGACATGCAAGGACACACATGTATGGCAGACATGCAAAGACACACATGTATGGCAGACACACAAAGACATATGCGTGGCAGACATGCAAAGACACACATGTATGGCAGACATGCAAAGACACACATGTATGGCAGACA